GTCATTTATTTTGCTTGTCACTTAATGTCACTTAAAAATGTTTATTTTACTTTTCCCTGTCTGTGCTATCTTACTTTAAATAAATAAAAATATAAAATGAGGGACCATTTTTTACTACCAGAACAGGTCCAGAGTAGTTGAAACTTGGGATAAATGAAAGGTTATCCTTACTCCTAATGTGCCAGCTTTATTATAATTGTAATGAACTGGTGCCTATATAATTTAGAGCACTTCCCAGTCACTCATATCTAGGGTTTTTACCTGCTAGAAGGTAAGTGACAATCATTTATTTTAAAAAGAGGGGGAAGTGGGTAGATATGAAAACCAATGAAGAGGTAATGTTTATCAGTTGGTAAGAACATATTATTCTGATGCTCTTTCGGCATTAATTCAAACTGGCATACAGTTTATACAATGTTTTATGACTGTCTACATCTAGTCTTTGTGCTCTTTTCTAGATGATTAACTATTTTATTTACTGACCTTTGTAGGCATTGAAGAGTATCTTTTCCCAAATCACAAAAACCAATATCGCTGATCTTGTCATAGCAATAATAATAATGATTTGTGTTTACATTGTGAAAGAACTTAATGCCCGCTACAAGTCGAAATTACGTGTGCCAATCCCTATAGAGATCATTATGGTAAGTCCAATTTATCAGTATTAGTTATGAAATGAATGTCGCATAAAGAATGGGCAGTACAAGTATGAGGAAGTTAAAGCATGTAAACCTTAATAATGAACTTCTCTTAGTTGCTCCCTTTTGGTCTGTTAAATTTACCATTCAAAGTCTTTTGTTATACAGTATTTAATCTATAATGCAAAAACAACCCTGCAGATTTCTGTCAGAAAACGAGTGCTGTCCTATACACTCTGCAGTGTTTTCCCAAGAAGTCTTATCTACCCTGCCCAGTGCACCTATGTGATCTACAAAACACCTCCCCTTATGTTTTGAAGAGGGGAGGTGTTCTGTGGTCCAAATCAGGACCAAGCAGTCTAACTTGACTACGCTGCTCTGCACTGTGGTGGTGTGCACCAAATAAAAGTTCTGCATGCACTACTTTTTTCAGTGCAGTGTGTTGCAACTGCATTGCACTGCAATGTGGCCAATAGAACTTATGAAATGTCATTTGTGATAAAGGCAAAAAGAAAGAACAAAAAAAGGAAACAGTACAATGCACCGGGTTTGGCGATCAGCATGTTACCTGTCAGTGCACACCAGCAGTCGTGCATTAAACTTGGCTTGCTGGTGTGAACAGACCCTAAATAAGGAAACAGAAGCTTAAAGTGTATGTAAACTCTGATGAGGAACTTCTCTTATCTGCTCCATTTTGGTCTGCAAACTACACCATGGAATGTGTTTTGTTCTTTCTGTGTGATAAGTGCAAAAACATTTCTTGCTGATTTTGTGTGAAATTGTGTGAGCTGGTAACTTCCTGTGCTCTCTGCCAATGCACAGGGAGGGGTTATGTTATGGAGATGAGCAACGGAGGTGGGAGTAGATGAGAAGTCTGTGTTCTTTGTAATCCACCAGAAATGAAATATGGAGGGCTGACACTTTGCTTATGAATTCAGACCTGTGTTGTAATGTTAAAGAGGAGGGTAGGAGCTAACTACAGGGTTAATTTGTAAAGGTTACTCTTGGTGCCTGCTGTTCCCACAGCACTAGCGCCCCTAGATGGAGCTGATGAGTATAGGAATTTCCTATATTTGTCAGTGCCATTTAAGGGCGCTAGTGCCATGTGAATGGCATTTGCTCGGCATATAATGTCTATAATAGAACCCCTATATTTCTGGCATATTAAGAGTTATTTGTCCATACCTGTATTGTGTTTAAATGGATAAAATGTGGAAATATGCATGTATTCCAGAGATGTACTTAATTTTTTTTTGTAAAGTTTGCCTTGGCCTACATTTTAAGTAATAAAACTATCATGGAGCAAGCTAGCATACCTGGTGTTTCCACACAGTCATGTACAGCAAAAGCCATATGCATAGAAATATAATCTGCAGTGTTATGTATATTTGGTTTTCTAAATATAATTTATTATGCACTTTTTTCAAATATTGTTTTTTTGTTTTTTTTCCCTATGTTTGCAGACAATTATTGCTGCTGGTGTGTCCTATGCATTTAATTTTAAAGTCAAATACAATGTTACTATTGTAGGAACAATACAAAAAGGGTAAGAGTCTAACTGTTTTTTAAAAAAATATTTATAATATAAAATGTTTACATTTCTTTTTCTGACAGATATATCATCTTTCATTTAAAAAAAAAATTCCCTATAGTAATTCCGCAGACGTCTGTCAAACACATAAACATGGTTGCCCCATCGCAACTCCTTAAAGGAGAACTATGGGGTCAGTGCTTTTCCCCATAGTTCTCCTAAGGGTAACGGGAGGACACAAACTAGCATCCTCCCGTCACCCAAAGCGTCCTCCCGCTACAGCTCGCGGTATACTGAGACGCCGCAGCCGGGACGTATGTCAAGATCCACCCAGCTGCGTGATTCACAGCTGGCTCTGCCTATCTAGAGGCAGAGCCAGCTGTACCCGCCCCCTTCCCCGTCCGTTCTGCCAGTCAGCGCTGGAGGATCGGACAAGGGAGGGGGGAATCCCCGCAGGGAGCCGTGAGTGACAGTCACGGCTCTCTGCAGGGATAGATCGAGAAGTGAGCGCGCGACAATATGTGTTAACTCACTTCCCGATCTATTGAGCCGACCTGTGACAGTCTCATTGTCACAGGTAGGCTAGAACTATGAGGCTGAGTGATTTTTCACTCACCTCATACTTCTCCTTTAAGCAGACACATCTAAAGATTTCCCCAACATACCCCATATGGCATGGAAAAGCTTTGAAAATGTCACAGGAATAGCAGAAGTTTGTAGCTGGGAAAGGGGAGTATAGAATAACCTTCACAGATTGTTTCCCCGTAATCCTTCAAAAGATGTTAATTTGCTTTTATGTTTATCATAACAACATACTCATAGCCTTATAGTCATATGTTGTGTGGTTGCAGTGTGGTCTTTGTATGATCCTTTATGTGTATACATTACAAACGTATACTATACATTTACGGAGATATTTTTTAATATTTAAGCATAGCTGAATTAAAACAAAACTACCTGCATTACAACAAAACTACTATTGGCATTACATAGCAGACACTTTTAGGAATTCCTGAAGACTTCTCCTTTCAAGAACTTCTGATGCCCTGCTTTCTATTTGTAAGGCCCCAATCACTGTAACCTCTTAAGCCCCTGTGTTAGCCAATCATTGTGATAGGCAGCCTTACTGGGCAATAGCAATGGCTAAGATGAAGCAGTACACAGGAACAAGCTCTCAATCACGGATGGTGTGTTAGTATTTGCATACTAAAAGTATTGTATAACTATACTAGGCTAATATGTTAAAGTAAAAATATAAGTGTATGTAAACCCTAAATCTTTATTGCAGTATGTTAGGCATTGCATTTCACTGTATACAGTGTTTAGGCAATTATTTTGTATTAAACTGCCATTAAATTACAAAGCCATTGTTTTGTAATTATCAGCAACATTATTATTAGCCTGCCAGATACACTGCATCAGTTGGCCTTGGGGTGCCTATTTTCTAGATCTGATAAGCTGACCATACACTGTAATATTTTCTTCATTCAACCCGAGGGCTAAACAAAGAAAATATTACAGATTCCTCCATCAACGCTTACGAGCTTTGATCAAGGAATCTCCTGCTGTCTTTATTGTATTCTGACAGCATCCACCGGAGTACCCGAACAGAGCCGGAAGCTGATTTTCCAACTGGCTCCTTCAATCAGCTGATTGGGGTTCATCAAAAGCCAGCCGAAATTCGCACAGTGTATGGCCACCTGTAGGCATGCCAATGGCCAACTAAAGCAGAATACCCAGCAGGCTAACAATGGATTGCATGTGTTCCCCAAAGTAACCAATAATGTTCAAGCTGTAATTTCCTAAATTATAACCTTTTTTGGTCTACTTATTACAAATCATTCACTTTTTTTCACTGGACATTAATACAATATACTGTATATTTAAAGAGATTTCCCATTTATTAATGTTAACATGGTTGCTCGCTTTCCAACTATGTGTGTAAAATAAATAAAATCTCAGAAGAAAATAAATGAGCCCATAAATAAAATATAAGACTTCCACTTAGAAACACAATGACATGCTAACAATGTCACTTCTCCACAGCTTTCAGCCACCTACAGCACCAAGTATACCTGTTTTTCAAGCTTGCATTGCTAATTCTTTTTCTATTGCTATTGTTGGATTTGCTGTGGCCTTTTCTGTTGCTAAGGTTTACTCAATCAAGCATAACTACAACATTAATGGAAACCAGGTAAGAAATATTGGAGCCCAACATTTATTTGTCAGACTAAAGCGGGCCTATCACACTCATATATCTGGATTTGTTTTCTCATTTTGTCTCTCATAGTTGAGGTCTACCTATGATGCCAATTACAGGCCTCTCTCATCTTTTTAAGTGGGAGAACTTGCACAATTGGTGGCTGACTAAATACTTTTTTGCCCCACTGTATG